AACAATTTAGACAAACGTCTTTATAACTCGGCTCAAGCTTTGGCTGACCTCCTACAACCTCCTACGGTGGATCCTCCCATCATCGCCTTGACGAATCCGGTTCATCCCACTGGACCACCCGAAGATTCCCTCCGCCCGGAGGATAAGAGAGCAGAGAAGACACTCCTCAAAGGACATCTTGCGGCTGCTTGGTCCATCCGTGCCTCATCTTCGGCATCCTTTTTCAACCGGGCGGCTCTTCTCTGGCTGAAGCAATTGCAAGATCGCTTGCCCCGGGCCGATCTCAGGGCTCATCAAGACCTCAATAAGATAGCCGCCGCCTTGGAGTATTCAGCGGATGCCACGCTCAACGCTACGAGATTTGCAGCCAGGGCCCTTGGCTCTTCCATCACGTCCCGCCGCCTTCTCTGGCTCCGAAACTGTCAGGCAGAAATCCGCAGTAAGTGGCAGCTTGCCTCAGCCCCGTATACAATTGGCTCCCTCTTCGGACCCCCACTGGAACCTCTCCTGGTTGAAACCCGGGACAAGCGCAAGATCCTCCCTTCTCAACTTCGAAGGTCGTCTTCACGCTACTCTCCGTATCCACGGTCCCAGCCCTTTCGTGCTCCGGACTCCAATTCGTTTCAGCCACGCTTCCACCGTCCCACCCCTCCTCGAAGCCAGCAACTTGACTCCCAGGTTAGATCGGGGGGCGGTTTCCAGCCACGCAGATCCATTCGGGGAGGGCACGGTCGCTTCACCAGGAGAGGCAGATAGATTCCAGTATGATATTCCTATAGGGGGTCGTTTGTCCTTTTTCTATTCCCAATGGGTTTCCTCGGTGTCCGACGCTTGGGTCCTCTCCACTATTCGCTCGGGCCTTAGGTTAGATTTCCTCAGCCCACCCCCCCGGTTTTTATTTCATGCCCTCTCTCTCGAGACCCGCAGAAGCAGGCCCTGGTTTCCTCAGCCATCAATCACCTCCTGGCTATTCGGGCTGTTCAGAGGGTGCCCCCTGATCAACAGGGCAGGGGATTTTACTCCCGTATTTTTGTCGTCCCTAAGTCCTCGGGGGGATGGACGGCCATTTTAGACCTTAAAGCTCTGAACCGGTACATAATTTATCGCCGGTTCAAGATACACACCCTGTTCTCCATTTTGGAGTGCCTCCGCCCAGGGGATTTTCTTTCTTCGATTGATTTAACGGAGGCCTACCTCCATATTCCGATTCACCCTTCCCACCGTCAGTTTCTTCGTTTTCATTTCATGGGGTCCCATTTCCAGTATAGAGCCCTGCCCTTTGGTCTCTCCTCGGCCCCGAGGGTTTTCACCAAGGTCATGGCTGCAATTATAGGTCATATCAGGTCCCTTCCCATTAGGCTTCAATTTTATTTGGACGATATCCTTATTATGTCTACTTCCCTTTCTTCGGCCACCAAGGACCTTGACTCTGTCCTTTCTCTTCTCCAATCCCATGGGTTCTCTGTCAATTGGGCCAAAAGCCACCTATCACATTCCACAAGTATCATCCATCTGGGGGCCTCAATTGACACAGTCTCTTCCAGGGTGTTCCTCTCCCCAGACCGTCAACTGGCTCTCCGTGACCTAATTAGCCAATGCTGGGCTGCAGATTCTGTCTCTCTCATGAAACTCTCTTGCCAAAGTTCCTTCAACAAGGTTAGTTCACTTAGGGGCCCTGATAGACACGCATCCTGTCCCACGACAGGCAGGACAGCATACGGGCACTAATCCAGCAGGTTCAGGGATGCCAGACTGTGCAGATAGACCTCCTGTCCCAACTATTGGGGAAATTGATTTCTTGCCTGAAGATCGTTCCCAGGTTCCAGGTTCCATGCGAGACCACTACAGTGGTTCTTGCTCCCGTTCCAGAAGGCGGGCACGAGCTCGTCCAAGATCCGGGTGCAGGTGCCTCCATGGGTCCGGCGCTCTTTGGCATGGTGGATGTCAGTGGCCATCCAGAAGGGCTGTTATTTCAGGAACCCCCACAGGGTGGTTGTGATATCAGATGCCAGTCTGTGGGGTTGGGGACGCCATTGCGGGTCTCAGGTAGCTCAGGGCCATTGGTCCCACCTAGAACTGTCCCAGCAGATCAATTGGTTAGACCTCCGAGCAGCCCGTCTGTCTCTGCAGGCCTTTCTTCCTCAGGTGAGGGGGCAGCATGTGCTCCTTCTCACAGACAATACAACAACTAAAGCCCATATAAACAGGCAGGGGGAACTCGTTCCCGGCCTCTGATGCGGGAGGCAGAGACGCTTTGCAACTGGGCAGACTCACCTTTTGTCCCTGACAGCGGACCACATCGCCGGAACGGACAACGTCGAAGCCGACTGGCTGAGTCGGGCCACTTTGCCCCCTTCAGAGTGGAGGTTACATCCCAGCCTGTTTGCGGACATAGTCGACCGGTTCAGTCGCCCGGTGATGGACCTCTTTGCCTCGCCAACGAACACCCAGCTCCCCCGCGTCCTATCCCGGTTTCCTGCCCCGGGAGCAGTGGACGCTCTACGGATCCCGTGGCCCAGGGGTCTTTTATACGCCTTCCCTCCCCTACCCCTGATCCCAGCTGTAATTCGGAAGGTGTTGTTGGAGGGGGCGGAGATAGTGTTAGTGGCCCCTCACTGGCCCAGACGGCCGTGGTTCGCCGACCAGGCCATGGCGGATTCCCACAGACAGAGTTTCCCTCAGCCAGGGCCCGGGGCAACACCCAGACCCTCAGAGACTGCAGTTAGCCGCTTAGAGGTTGAGCGGGGGCTCTTGAGGAGGGAGAACTTTCCAGCCAGGTTCATCCGGACTATGCAGACGGCCAGGCGGCCCTCCACCACGCGCATTTACGAGGCCACGTGGAACAAGTTTACAGTGTGGTGTGCCTCAAGACGTTTTATTCCAACTTCAGCATTGGTGGTGGAGGTGCTGGAATTTTTACAGGAGGGGTTGGACATGGGACTTTCCATTAACACCTTAAGGTGACAGATTGCTGCGCTGGGGTCTGTCTTGACAATTGGGGAGTGGGGTTCTCTTGCTAACCATCTGAGGGTGAGGACCTTCCTACGAGGAGCAGCTAATTAAAAAACCCCTCCTCTTCACCGTTATCCCACATGGGACCTCTCTAAGGTCCTACAAGCATTGACTAAGGTACCGTTTGAACCATTGAGGGAGGCTAGTCTGCGCATCCTCTCGTGTAAAGTAGCTTTCCCTGTGGCCGTCACGTCTGCCCAACGGATCTCGGGGTTGGCAGCATTATCGGTGCGGAAAGACCTGTGTATTTTTCACTCCAACAGGGTGGTCCTACGGCTGGACCCTGCCTTTCTTCCTAAGGTCAACTCCTTGTTCCACCAAGCACAGGAGTTGGTCCTGCCAGACTTCTGTCCTCGGCCTAGGCACGCCTTGGAGCAGACCTGGCACACCTTGGATGTGAGGAGGGCCCTCCGTATTTACATTTTTCGGACCTCTTCTTTCCGGAAGATGGAGGCTCTTTTTGTCTCCTTTCAGCCGTCGACTCTTGACCACAGGGTGACCTCTTCCACGGTGGGGAGGTGGCTTTGTATGTGCATTTCATCCGCATATGAGCTTCAGGCTCTCCCGGTGCCTCAAGGGATAACGGCTCACTCCACCCGCAGTGCTGCCACAACTGCGGCCTGGGCTACTCAAGCGTCTGTCGAGGACATATGTAGGGCAGCTACGTGGACTACTCCCACTCCCTTCATCCGCCACTATAGACTGGATTCCTTCGCATCGGCGGAGGCGGCGTTTGGGAGATGAGTGCTACAGAGGGTTCATGAAGATCCGGGGTTGTCGGCCCAGGACAGCTCCCACCCTTAGGGCTGGCCAGTCTTTGGTATATCCCAGCCGGGCACCTCCCATTTCTACACTATGGAGAAGGGATGTTGGTCTTACCGTGATACGTTCCTTCTCGTAGTGTAAAATGGGAGGTGCCAGCCCCACCCTGGCTGCCTGGACCGGCTCCCTTCATGGAGCGTGTTGTTTCTGTCTTTCAGACTGCGTACCATTCACCTGGACTGTGTACCATTCGCCTTGGCTTCGTTGGCAAAATGAAGAGACGTCACCAGGGAGGCGGATCTTCAGAAGTTTCAATTCAGGACATAGAACTAGAGCATAGAATATCCCAGCCTGGCACCTCCCATTTTACACTACAAGAAGGAACGTATCACGGTAAGACCAACGTCCCTTCCCTTCATACCTTCCCCATCAGTTACCCATCTTCCATTAACATCCTTCAAACCACCTACTTTACTTCTTTCCCTTAACTTTTTAATTCTATAGGTTATCCATCTTCCTGGCTTGTTAGTGTTTTCAAAATAACCTTGTTTGGCTCACCTGCATTTTTCAGCTACTTCTTCTTGGTCCATTAAATTTATTTTATGGCGAATTGAATTTTTTTCCTCTAATAATGCCTGATCATCGGTTTGTTTTGTAATCCTTTTTCCACCTATTCTAACCCATCCATCAAATTTGATCGTTCCTTCCTTTCCAGTCTTCGCTTCCTTATTGTATATTTTATTACCAATCCCCTAATTAGCACCTTATAAGTATCCCAATTATTTTGCAGGCTCGTATCCTCTTATTCTCTTTAAAGAAATATTCTGTTTCTCTCTTAATCCAGGTCACAACTTCCTCATCCTTCAGCACCCTCACATCCATCTTCCATCTTTTCTTTTTCTGTTGGCCCCTCCATGTTACAAGCAAGGGGTTGTGATCAGCCCAATAATTAACCCCAATCTCTATCTCAGAAACATATTCCCCTAATTGTAGTATCATCCAGGCCATGTCGATCCACGACTATGACTTATGCCTGCAAGAGTGAAATGTGTATTGTCTCGTCTCTGGGTGTTGCTCTCTCCATATGTCCCGAAGGCCTAATTTTTCTCTCATCATGATTCCTTCCTTTGGCAACCCCCTCCTATGTATTTTTTCCTCTCCTCCCAGCAGTTTAGTACCTGGTGAATAGTCCAAATTGCTGTCCAATATAACATTAAAGTCCCCAATCAGGCAAACATGGTCATATTTTAATTCAATCAGTTTTTTGTATATACGTTCATAAAAAGACTTCTGATTTCCATTCGGAGGATAAATAGTAACCAATAGACATTTCAATTGTCTTATTTCTAATTCTATTCATCTTTAAAAATTTATTTAGAATTTAAGTGATCCTTCACATATACCGCCCCCCCCGTTTCCTCTTATCTGCCGATGAATGATACATCTTCCCAAGTCTTGAACACAACAGAAGTTTCTCATGAATTTTTTTAATATGAATTTCTTGAAGGCAAGTAATATCATAATTAAGTTTCGCTAAATTTAGTATTTTCCTTCTTTTAGAGGGAATATTTAAACCATTAACATTCAAAGAAATGAGTCGCACCTCTTCCCCCATCACCACCTTTCTTCCCCTCCTCCTATTAGTCCTATTTTCCTAATACTTTTTTCTTGGTTTGCCGGGTTTCTCATAACACCATCTTTCTGCCTCACCCTCCTTTTTCCTCTAATTTCCCCTCCTCCTTCCTTTCTTCTTGGTTTCCCACACTATTTTCTTCCTGCAATTCCTCTGAACTTCTACTCTCCTCCTCCCTTTCTAATTCCAGCTCTAATTGTGTGGATTTAAAATTGTGTTCATAAAAATCCTGAGCATCCCGGCGGTTTTCTATTTTCACTTTCCTATCATTCCACGTAAACATGAGACCTTCTGGCAATAACCACCTATACATAATCCCATTCTTCCTCAGATGTAGCGTTAAAGGCTGGTAATTCCTTCTGATTTCCCTAACCCGTCTTGGAACTTGCCTCAGCACTGAAATCTGTTTTCCCCTAAATATTACAGCTCGGTCCCGAGATTTCTTATAGATCTCCTCCCACACCGACTTGTTAAACCTAATATGTACTTCTCGTGGGTGGTTATATCTCTTTGCATAATTAGTAAAAACCCGAAATACCTCATTAATATCACTAAGGACCGCTATTTTATCTTTTTCCAGTATTTCAGAAATGTTCCCTATACCACCAAACAGTGGCATCAGTTGGTACCTAAGATTTAAGGATGAATAAATAACAGTCAAAATCCACCCCGAGCCTGTTGTTAGAAAAAATTGTCTTTAATCACTGTCAGTAAATTTATCTTTTTAATATAGGGCGTTTTCCCCATATTGCAGGGAGAAGATCTAAAACTTCCTGCCTTGGAAGCAAGAAGAGAAGAACAGCAACACGTTGCGTAAGCCTAATGTTGTCACCACCTTGCTTTCTGGCAATGTTTTGGATTGAATTACATTGCCTGGAACAAGGTTGGGGGAAAATAAGAGTTGACTCTTTTCACCCAGTTCTAAACATCCTAGACAAATTATAATTGACAAGGAGAAATTAATTATTCTTAGTAAATTCATTGGAAATATAAGAAATAAATTATGCTTCCCCTTCAGTCCTAGTAATCCTGCCACAAATGTCTGGTGGGGCAATTAGGCACAATTCCCAGTGGATCTGCAGAGTTCAAAATTGTGGGTCAATCCTATATGTGATGAGGGAGGAAGGTATCAATCCTCAATACAAGCCCAAAGTTGCTCTTGTCTCCTTCTACTCATATATAACCTTCTGATTTTTCTAGAGAGAAACAACTACGCAATAACAACAATTGCCCAGTGTTATACAGAACTAGAGACATCAAAGCAGACCCATCAAAGACTTCCAAGACAAAAACTGTATGCAAAGAATTAAAAATCCAGTGGGAATATTGTGACAAAAAGAAGCATGGTCTCGGAGCTGACATAAAAATACAATGGCTGAAAGTCGCATTACAAAATCTACAGAATAAAAGATCAAAGCAATCAAGGAAAAAACTCTTGGGGTGGCTTAATGAATGCCTGAAAACTTTGAAAAAAGATATTTATAAACCAAACAAGCCCTCCCTAGCACCATGGATCCTACATGCCTGGATAAAACACCAACAGAAATATCTGGAAGAATTTGAGGAAGAAATCAAGGATTGGGTCAAGATATGCCTCAGTCATATTGCGTTTGAAGGCCCAACCACTTACTGCTTGACCCCCTCAGGAATGGGTTGAAAAATCCATTTCAGCCATTACAAAGTTATCAACCAACGAAAAAACATCTGAAAGTTCTCTAAGAAAGAGATGGCTTCCATAACTGTACATAAAGTATTTATGTACTTTTTAGAATGTACAATGCAGCAAGTAAGCAGGGTCTTAGACCTTAGTAACACTGCAGTACGAAAATGCTTTACTTGGCTTTAGTGATTTTAGTCTGTGGAGTCCCTGATGTCAGCCCTCAGAGTCAGACTCAACTACGACACTGCCTGCTTCATAACGGTTATTCCCCCCAAGATCTCTGCATCCTGCTGAAGTCAGCGGCTCATGAGGAAGTATCAAGATGCTGAACGAACCACTCAAGCTTAAGGTACAGTTGTGCACAGTGGGCAGGAGATTTAAGTCTCATGAAAACAGCCTTAAGTTGCTAGGAGCAATTTAAACACGTGGCCTCTCATACCATGCCTTTGGTTTGGAATCCAGTTCTTTACAACCGGGGCTCATTCACCAAGACCTCATCCTTCCATTGGTTTGGGATCATAAATCTGCAGTTTGGTTTTGGACTGCTTGACCTGGAATTTGCCTTCACCCAGCTGAGTTCTTTGTTGCACCGTGGCTTTTGGCTTTGATTCTATCAATCTGTTTTTCCTTTTTGCCAAAAGCAGCAGAAACAAGCCTTCTCCTTAAAACTGTATGTGCCCAAGACTGTTGTGGTTCCTGAGGAGGAGGAGGAAGAGGTAACAGAAAGAGCAGGGTAAGGAAGAGGAGGAAGAATGCGGAGACCAGTAGTGGCAAGCCAGTTGCAAATGCAGCCAGCAGGGAACCTTTACACGGGGCAAGATGGCTCTGGCCCCGCTGATCTCCCACCCCAGCCCTGCAGACTCACCGCATGCCTGGAGGTGGAAGTCGTGCCTTCAGATCACCTCCAGCCTCGCGGCCTGGTTCCTATCTGGATCAGTCCATGAACCTGCGTCTCTCTAGAGATGGATCAGGCAGATTATTATTTGAGATATCAGAATATGGAAGAAGAAAAGAGGAAAAAAAGTAGCGGAGATAATGGTGGAGTTACTGGCGGAAGTGATGGAGGTGACCAAGGAAAAATTTCTGACTGAGATTGATGAAATATTTAGAGTACATACTAGATATGCTATGAGAAACAGATTTCTGAGAGAGGTGCATGTTAGATTCCCCAAGAAAGCAATAAAAACAGAAATTTTACAGAGAGCAAGAGATGACCCTCTGAAGTATAAAGGGAAAGAAATGGTAGTGTTAAAACAAATTCCGAGACGAGAATTAAGAAGAGAATATCAGTTATTGACAAAGTGTTTACCGTATTTTTTGGAGTATAAGACGCACCTTTTCCCCTCCTAAAAGGGGGTGAAAATTTAGGTGCATCTTATACACCGAATGTAGCCCTGCCCACCCACTGGCCCCACCCTTTGGCCTGTGCCTCGCAGCAGTTACCTCCTTGCAAGCAAACAGCAAGAAAAGACAGCTCCTTTCAGCTTCAGCATAGACTAATTAGCACAAGTTGATTTGATCGGCCTCCCGACTCTCAGCTGATTTGCTCTCAGCTGTTTTGCGCAGGACTCTGCTGCTTGCTGCAAAGAGGTAAATTGCTGGAGCAGATTTTTTTTCCCCTTGTGCTAATCAAGCTATGCTGAAAACGAAACTGAAAATAAAGCAGGCTGTTTGCTGTAACGAGGCAAAATTAGGCAGAGGCAGAGGGAGATTACTTTTTCTTCTTTTTCCTCACCAAAAAAGGTAGGTGCAAACAATGGGAAATTTAGGGCAAAAGAGGAGAGTTCAAGATTTTAAACACAAAAGAAAAAAAGGAGAAAGAAAAAGGCAAAAATAAAAATGGGAAGGGAGAAAAAGAAATGAAAGAGAAAAATGGTATACATATTTAGAATTGAAATATGAATAGTAGTAAGAAATAAATGGGAAATCATGATTGTAAAAATGAAATGAATAATAATTGGAATATTTGTCTTTGTATTTTTGAAATCTAGACAATGATAGGTTTTTATTTTTTTAAGAAATATGAATAAGTATAAACTGTAACAATTGAAATACCTTTAATGGTATATGGTGGTGAAAGTAAAAAGGATTAAATTATAGCTTGGATAAACTATAAGGATTAAATTATAGCTTGGATAACAGCTAGAACATTTTAAAATTTAATTAGGGAAATTGTAATGATTGAAATATTTTTAATTATATATTGTGATGAAAGTAGAAATGATTAAGCTGTGATTTTGCAAAACTGTGGGTTATTGGGAGAGTTTAAGATGTGAAAATGAGTAACATAAGAGGGGAAAATTATTTGATTTATTATTATTGGTAAATATAATTAGTTGATTTGTAAAAAATTGGATTGCATGGAAATAATTGGAATATTCATGTTCATATTGATTAATATACAAAAAAAGATAGTTATATAACTAATTGATTTATTTTAAAATGTTGAATTTGTATTAAACAATTGTAATATTACATAATTAACCAATGTGAGGATGGATATTAAAATAGATGACAATGGGAAGGGATATAATATAGAATAGAAAAATTGAATTTGATTAAGATTAGAGATGACGATGAAGGGTAATATTGGTTTTTTAAAAATATAAGATGAGGAATAAATATGGCAAAAAGGAAATATAGAAATTGTAAATTTAATTGAAATGACTAAACACTGTTTAAATTTGTGAACCGGCCAAATACTCTGTTCAAAGAAAATACATTGTATGTTTGCATGTGTGTTTGTCTAAAAAATGAAAAACTTTTTATAAAAAAAAACAAAACAAAAAAGGTAGGTGCGTCTTATACTCCGGTGCGTCTTATACTCCAAAAAATACGGTATTTTTATATATATAGTAATATATTAATTACAAGAACATTGATTAACTTCATGGTTAATTCATGAAGCTGGTTTGGAACTGGTTTGCATGGCTGGCAAATAATTTCATTCATTCTTTTTGTTATAGATTCTAGAAGAAACATACCATTTGGTACTTGATCAGGAATCAGAAGATTTACATACTCTGAAAGAAGAAGGCAAAGAGGTCACTCTAGGACTAGAGGGAACTATTCGTTCAAATATAGACCAGATTGTGACTTCAAAAAACTTTCTGGCTGCAAAAATAAAAGATAAATTGAATGTCACACAATCAGCATTTTGTATTTTTCCTTTTTACATCTATTAATCACAGTATCAATTGACAATACTAATTTGCATATGGCTAAGAGAAAATTAATTTAGACTTTTTTATGTTTGCCCCTTTTAAGTATATCTACATTTATATCGCATGAGCCTAAGCTTATTTCATAATATGTTCACATTGCATGTTGTTTCTTTTGAGATGGAAAGAACAATTGGAAATCCCTGTTTAAGTGGATGCAACAAATGCATGATTAATATTGTAGATCCGTGATGGCGAACCTATGGTATGCGTGCCACAGATGGCATATCAGTGGGCATGCGAGCTCAGCGCCAGCTGGTTTTCGGGCCTTCCGGTCCCACTGGAACTTGGCAAACGGGCCGTTTCCGGCCTCCAGGAGGGTGGGGAAGGCCATTTTCGCCCTCCCCAAGCCCCTAGAAAGGATCTAGAGCAGCAGTTCTCAACCTGGGGGTCGCGACCCCTTTGGGGGTCGAACGGCCATTTCACAGGGGTCGCCAAAGCCCTCTCTCGCCCCCCCCACGCCTTCACTCACACTCACCCTCTGCCTCTGTTGGGTCGCTGGTCGCCGGTCGCTTACCTCGCCCACTCCCAATCTATTGCTGCCTCCTGAGTCCCAGCTGATGGCTAGAGGGAAAAAAAATGTTTAAATTCTTGCTGCGGGGCTTCGAAGGGCCGCCCTACAGCTGATCAGTGTTAAAAGAAAACAAATGCATAGACCGGTGCCTGCAAAAATAGAAAAAAACAGCCCCTTTCAGCTTAAGCATAGGTTAATTACCATAAGTTGATTTGATCAGCGTCCCGACTCTCAGCTGATTTGCTCTCAGCTGTTTTGCAGAGGGCTCTGTTGCTAGCTAGCTGCAAAGAGGTAAATTTGTGGAGCAGATTTTTTTCCCCTAGCTATGCTGAAAAAGCGAAACTGAAAGTAAAGCAGGGTCTTTGCTGCAACGTGACAAAATGAGGCAGAGAGAGATTTCTTTTTCCTCACCAAAAAAGATAGGTGCAAAACTGCAAACAATGGGAAATTTAGGGCAAAAGAGGAGGTTCAAGATTTTAAAACACAAAAGAAAAAAGCTCTATTTAACTAGGGAATTGTAATAATTGAGATACTATTAATTGTATATTGTGTTGAAAGCAGAAATGGTTAAGTTGTGGTTTAGAGGAATATATGGGGGAAATTATTTGGTTTATTATTATTGGTAAATATAATTAATTGATTTATAAGAAATTGGATTGCATGGAAATAATTGGAATATTCATGTTCATATTAATATACAAAAAAGATAGTTATATAATTAATTGATTTATATTAAAATGTTGAATTTGTATTAAACAATTGTATTACATAATTACATAATTAACCAATGTGAGGATGGATATAAAAACAGATGACAATGCGAAGGGGTATAATATAGAATAGAAGGGAAAAATTGAATTTGATTAAGATTAGAGATGAGAATGAAGGGTGATATTGGTTTTTTTAAAAAAATAGATGAGGAATAAATATGGCAAAAAGGAAATATAGAAATTGTAAATGTAATTGAAATGACTAAACACTGTTTAAATTTGTGAACCGGCCAAATACTCTGTTCAAAGAAAATACAATGTATGTTTGTATGTGTGTTTCTAATTATTGCTATTTATTCATATTTGTTCTCTTTTATTCTTTAAAGTTTAACAATTCATTCTCTATCTTAATATCTTTATATTTGTTTGGGGTTGGCTTTCTTCCCTTTCATCTTTTTTATTGTACAGCAATCTTTCTCCTCAAACCTACCACCTCTCTCTTTTCTTTCCTTCTTACTTTCTCTTCCCCCCCTCTTCTTCTCCTCCCTACTTCCTCTTACTTTCTCCTTCTCCTCCTCTCTCTCTTACCCTCACTCCTACTCTAATTTCCCTTCCCTTCCTTCATCCCTCTCTATTGCTGTATCCTTTTATGCATATGGACTACTCAGAAGGCTGAAAAATTTATTTTTGACTGGTCCTCGCACTTTTGACCAGTCCTCGAACTTACAACTGTCCTCACATTTTACGTTTTTGCCCTATTTTGTCACCATGGTGAAGAGAAGCAGTTGTGAAATGAGTGACACGGTTGTTAAGAATGCTACAATGGGCATAAATGATGACCAGTCATAAGTGCGAAGACCAGTCAAAAGTGCGAGGACCTGTCAGAAATCACTTTTTTCAGCCCTCTGGGTAGTCCTTTTGTGCACATGGACTACTCAGAGGGCTGAAAAAGTTATTTTTGACTGGTCCTCGCACTTTTGACCAGTCCTTGAATTTACGACTGTCCTAACATTTTATGTTTTTTGCCCTATTTTATCACCATGGTGAAGAAAAGCAGTTGTGAAATGAGTGACATGCTTGTTAAGAATGCTGCACGGGCATAAATGTGAAGATGGTCATAAGTGTGAGGACCAGTCAAAAGTGCGAGGACCTGTCAGAAATGACTTTTTTCAGCCCTCTGAGTAGTCCCTATACACATCCATAGCCACCCAGTCACATGACCAGCTAGCCACGCCCACCCAGTCACATGACCTCCAAGCCATACCCACAAAATAAGCCGCGCCCACAGAACCGGTAGTAAAAAAATTTAGAACCCACCCCTGACCCCAGGTATTTCACATTTTTCTCTACCTTAAAACTCAACTTTTTAGTCAATATTTCACTATATTGAGAGGTCATATTCTTAACAAGCATTGTTGTTTTCTGTTTATTTATTTGAAAATCTACTAAAGCTCCAAACATTTAATTTCTTCATTAAATATTCTATATTAATTTTCAGGTCTTGTAAAAGTATAACTAAATCGTCAGCAAATGCTCTCAACTTCCTTTTTGACATTTATGTCTGTTATTTTCTCATCTTGCCTAATAGCCATATTCAAAACTTCCAACACCAATATAAACAGCAGGGTAGATAAGAGGCTTTCTTACCTCGTACCCTTTTGAATTTCACATTATTTACTTAAATTTCTATTAATAATCTTTGCTTATTGTGATGTATAAACTGCTTTGATCCCTTGAATAAATTTTTCCCCAAAGTCCCTATCTTCCAAAACTTTAAACATAAAAACCCAATTTAAGATGTCAAAAGCTTTGTCTGCATCCAAAAACATTAAAGCTGCCTGTTTCTCATTATGGTACTGTAGGTATTCAATAATGTTCAAAATAGTTAGTGTGTAGGTATATACATATGCGTGTTTATTATGCGCTCTAGAAAGGCTGCAGAGAAGAGCAACCAAGATGATTAGTGGACTGGAGGCTAAAACATACAATGAACGGTTGCAGGAACTGGGCATGGCTAGTTTAGTGAAGAGAAAGACCAGGGGAAACATGATAGCAGGGTTCCAATATTTGAGGGGCTGCCCCAGAGAGGAGGGAGCCAAGCTATTTTCCAAAGCGCCCGAAGGCCAGACAAGGAATAATGGATGGAAACTGATCAAGGAGAGCTTCAACCTAGAAATAAGAAGAAATTTTCTGACAGTGACCAACGGAACAGCTTGCCTTCATCACTGGACTGCCATGGTGTAGGGAGGGTCTCCTGCTTGGGCAGGGGTTGGACTAGATGACCTACAAGGTCCCTTCCAACTCTGGTAATCTGTTATAAAATATCTATATGTGTGTTATGTATGTGTACACTTCTGAGAGCAGGCCACAGAATTTCATTTTTAATTTTTGCCAGAGTCCCACAGGGGAAAAAACACCGAGAATAAAGCTTATCTTATTTAACTTTCACTTTCCCTAACGAAAGGACGGGTGGCAACAAGTACCCCACTTGCACTTCTTCTATGTAAGAAAAGAGCCACACACACAAACGCAAACCTTTTCCTTAAAGGTTCGAGGACCCAAAGCTTTGGCAAGAGAAAGCAGCTGGGCGAATGCACACATGCAAGAGTCCCTCGGGGGGGGGGGGGAAACAATCGCCATTTGTTCCCGCTAACCCTGGCCGGGGCCATCCGGGGGGCCGGAGCGATTCCGACCGCCTTAGGCTACGCGTAGGTAGGTGAAGGCAGCCGGAGCAGCGGAGACAGGTTACCCACCGCGGCTGACATCTTGACTGCCCCCTTCCAGAGCGCCGACTGCCTTTCTTAGCCTGAAAAGGGGGATGTCTGAAAAGGAAGGGGGGGCGGTAGAAAGGGGAGGCGCGTCCCACTGAGCGCCCCAGTAACGACTTCTCCGCGGGGGGGGGCGGGGGCGCGAGATTTTCAGCCCCGAAAGGGGAACCAGGCGGAGGCTTTTGTAGCCGGGGGAGCCTCCCTTTCGAGCCGCGTCCCGCTCTCCTCGTCAGCTGAGCTAGCCCAGCCAGAGCCCCGCCGCCCCGTCCCTTTTTTATTACTCACCGGCCCCGTTGCTGGCGAGGTCTCGGAGGCCGGCCCGCTCCCGGCCGCGCGCCTGGTTCTCCTGCCCGTCGTGGTCGCCGTCACCGCCCCCGCCGTCGGCGCCCCCGCCCCCTACTCCGCCCGTTGGCCACGCCCCTCTCGGCTCTCTTGTCCTGAGCTGCTTTGCGGGACTGGCGGTGGTTGGTGTGGGGTTCCGTTGCTGTGTCCTAGGCCTAGGCAGTTCAACGGTCGTTTGCCTTCCTGCTGTATTGTTCACTTCTCAAAATCACCTATTCCTTCTTCCAAAATCACTTACTTCTTCTTTTACAACTTCCTCAACTTTGATTCCCCTTACCTTCTACTTTCTATAACTTCTTTCTTCTTACTTTCTATTACTGCTCATTCTACCTACCCTAGCTGTTCTAAATCCTTTAAATTTCACTGTCTACCCTAACCCCCCCCCCCCGTCTCTCTCACTGTGTGTACATATATGTAAATAATTGCTGTCTCCCCCACCCTCTCTCCTACCTCTCGCTCTGTCTGTACATATTATACATATTACATTTGGTGCCTTCAAGTCAGTCTGGACTCCTGACTAATCTTTGCAGTTTTTTGGCAAGATTTTGGAAGTCGTTTGTCCTTACCGCCTTGGTCACCCAGCTAGCTTTGTGCCTAAAGTAAGACTAGAACTCACAGTCTCCCAGTTTCTAATCTGATACCTTAATCCTACAAAATTCCCTTTCTATCTACCCATTCTAATACTTTTTAAAATTTATAATACTGAATTTGTCTTTTGATATAATTTCCTTATTCCAAATCTCTGCATCTGACATACTATTCAATATATCTCTGAGTCATGGTGAGTCAGAGTACCTTCGCCCTATACTTCTCTACCTTTCTTCTTTAGAGCATGCAATGCAAAGAGTTGAACTGATATTCTCTAATACTCTTATGCAGTGGTGGGATTCAATTTTTTTAAAAAACCGGTTCTATGGGCGTGGCTTAGTTGGGGGTGTGGCTTGGTGGTCATGTGACCGGGTGAGCGTGGTTATGTGCATAGGGACTACTCAGAGGGCTGAAAAAAGTCATTTCTGACTGGTTCTTGCACTTTTGACTGGTCCTCACACTTATGACCATCCTCACATTTATGCCCGCTGCAGCATTCTTTTTTTTTTTTTTTTTTTATTGAAAAGGTTTTCAAATACAAATTTTTCCCCCTTTTTCCCCCCCCTCCCCCCCTCCCTAACCCCCCCTCCCCACCCTTCCCCCCCTGTGACTTCTTCGTAACAAAAAAAAAACCCTAATTCATAACAGATTACTTACTCCCTCCTCAAAATACTGACCTTTACTTACTAAAAATATTATAAATCCCCCTTTATCCATACATTTCAGAAAAGAAGAAGAGAAAAAAAAAACAAAAAAAAAACAAACACATTATACTATAACTATTATAAAATAACTTCTAATTTAGCATAATAGTGTTTTATATCTATACATTATTGCAACAATTCAAAACCACCTTCCACTTTAAGACTATACGATAAGTCCTACTTTAGTAACATTTCAAAGCGGGCTCCCCATAAAATCTAATTTAACATTTATTCCACTCTATCCATTTCCTCCACTCCCCTAAATGTATCACTTAAAAATCCCTTTTCTTAAACTAATCAGTCTGTAGCTAGCTTATTCACCCACTGTCTTACAAATTTACCATACACAACAATTCTTGATATCTTTAATTCACTGCCCACACTACTTAAAAATATATATATATATATATTCCATTATATCTAAATAAAAAAAGAAAAGACAATAACTTTAAATTTATAGTCCATATAATATCTTCTTGTAGTCTTTCCACTGGATTGTTAAAG